ATTTTGATTGATTAGGAAGGAATTTCAGTGTGGGGATGTCTACTACTCGGCAGGTCTTCCCTTCAACTCCTGGGGGGAAAAATGAGGGGAGAATGAGGGGAGAATGAGGGGAGAATGAGGGGAGAATGAGGGGAAATGGTTTGGGGGTCCTCTCACTGGGTTTGGGGTTTCTCTTGCTGGGTTTGGGGTTCCTCTCACTGAGTTCAGGGTTTCTCTCATTGGGTTTTGGGGTTCTTCTCACTGGTTTGGGGTTCCTCTCACTGGGTTTAGGGTTCTCGGTTTAGGATTTCCTCTCAATGGGTTTAGGGTTCCGGGTTTAGGGTTTCCTCTCACTGGGTTTGGGGTTTCTCTCACTCATTTAGGGTTTCTCTCACTGTGTTTAGGGTTCCTGTCACCGCTGCTGCTCCCAGCTCAGCAGCACAAGCCCCAGACACGGAAATGCTGCCCTGACCCCGGCAGGGATGATCCACACCGAGCTCAAGCTGCTTTGGCTCTCAGACCCTGCAGCCGCCCCGTCCTGCTGTGACCCCAAAACTGCCATAAACAGCAGAGTGAACTCTGGGAACCCCTGAACTCCTGACTCAGTTCTGTGGGGCCAAAAGGGGCATGAACAGCGTGGGGTGAGAGTTCACGGCTCGGGGCAAACGGGTACAGAGCTCCATGAGCCCTGCAGCACCCACAGACAGTGCTGGCAGGGAGTTTGGGGCAGGTGTAAAACCCCAAAAACAGCTCCAAAAAATGTGGTTTTGTCCCAAAAGCAGCTCTAAAAAAGGCCTTTTTGGTCCTAAAAACTGTTGTCAGTGAATTTAGGACAGATATTACCTATAAATATTCATTATATATCTTATGTAATTCACCACCTATTGTATAAATATAAATATTTGTAACATGAATTCTAYGTATTTTATGGTGCATAAATATGTATAAATATAAGTAAAACAAGAATATTTTTAGTCCATATTATATAAAATATGAAATATATGGTAGCTTATAATATATATAATAGATAATATATTAAATAACAYGTTATATATAAATACATAAAATATGTTATATATAATAATATATATGATATAACACACAATATAGAAWGCATAATACTTAATACATAGAATAGATAATATATATTACATATTATATATATTATATGGAAATAAGCACAAATACTTATATGAATAATTTTAATTTTTTTTAAGAAAACAATCAAAYATTGTTTTGCAGCACAGAAGCCACTTACCATCCTGGTTGCCCCACTCCCAGTCAGGCCCACGGACCACTTTGGCCCCYTGGAAAGTCCCTTTTAATGTGATGCGAGTCAGATTCTGCCGAGGGCTCACCAGGACCCTGCAAAAAACCACAAAAGCAGAGAAAAAAAAATTTGATTTGTTGGTGTTCCAGGACCATTCTTCACTTTGGGGTAATGGGCATTAATGGGGTGGGGTTAATGGGGTGGTCCTACAGGGAGGCATTAATGGAGCTCAGCACATTCACCCTAAAAATCAGAGCAGGGGCTGGGCCATTCCCAGCTTTTTTTCCCAGGACATTTCCAGCCCATTCCCAGGATATTCCCAGGCCATTCCCATGCCATTCCCAGCCTTTTTCCCAGGACATTCCCAGGATATTCCCAGGCCATTCCCAGCCTTTTTCCAGGACATTTCTAGAACATTCCCAGCCTTTTCCCAGGCCATTTCAAGGACATTCCCAGCCTTTTAACCAGAATATTCCCACCCTTTTTCCCAGGACATTCCCAGCCTTTTTTCCAGGCCATCCCCACGTTTTTCTCCAGGCCATTTCTAGAACATTCCCAGCCATCCCCACCCTTTTTCCCAGGCCATTTCTAGAACATTCCCAGACCATCCCCACCCTTTTTCCCATGCCATTTCTAGACCATTCCCAGACCATCCCCACCCTTTTTCCCATGCCATTTCTAGATCATTCCCCCAGGCCATTTCTAGACCATTCCCAGGTCATTCCCAGAACATTTCTAGACCATTCCCAGAACATTTCTAGACCATTCCCAGAACATTTCTAGACCATTCCCAGAACATTTCTAGACCATTCCCATCTCCCCCACTCCCCACTGTACGTACGTGATGGTGAACAGGGGGTCGGAGCTCCTGTTAAAGCAGCTCCCGATCCCCATGGTGCCACCGCAGCCCCTCCGTGCGCTGTCCCCGYSCTGTCCCCACCCTTCTCATGGGTCCCCACCCTTCTCATGGGTCCCCAGCACCCCAAACCCCTCTGAGGGTGCTCAGACAGGGCACAATCCCCTCCCGTGGGTGCCCCAGCCCGATGAGATCCCGGCGTGGGCAGAGCCAGCCCGGCTCAGCAGCTGCYGAGGGGAGGGGACATTTCTGACCTCACAACTGAATTTATTTATTTATTTTCTGTTTAATTCCCACCCAGGGAAGGTGGAGGCTCAGGAGGATAAAAAGCTTAGGGTTGAATTTACTGTTTGTTTTATCTAGCGGCCGCTTAAGGCTTTTACCTTCCTTAACCTGGRAGCAGATCTCCCACCTGGGCTTTATAACCTCCTGGTGTGGGTTAAAAAGGGCAGATCATTGATCTTATCATCACTCAACAGGCATTAATTTCATTAAYTTAATGAATTTCATTAATTAGCTCAACAGGAGTCAGGTGAAGGGTTTTTGTTTGGATGGCTTTACAACCTCCTGGTGTGGGTTAAAAAGGGGAGATTATTGATCTCATCATCACTGATGGGCATGAATTTCATTAATTTCATTAATTAGYTCAACAGGAGKMAGGTGAAGCRTTTTTATTTGGGTGGTTTTATAACCTCCTCATGTGTTATAAGGAGAATATTGATGTCATCATCACTGAATGGTCATTAATTAATTTCATTGATTGCACTAATTAATTTCAGGGTGATTACCCCTTGTAATTTTTAAACAAAAAATTAAACAAATTTTGTTATTTTGTTCTACAAATCAAACAAAATAATTCAAATTACAACACGGAAGCCTTGATGTGCTCACATTTGGGGTTTTTTAAGGAAGCAAAGGCAGTTTAGCTGACAAATCATGGTGGGTTTTGTTTTTAAAGTGAAATTAATTAGATTTCTTAATAGAAAAATCAATTAATATTCATTGGAACACAATTCTGTTCTACAAATCATGACCTCAAATAGTAAAATTAAAAAAAAGGTAAATAAATAAAATTCAAACCAAACGAGCCCAATTAAAAAAACAAAAAAACAAAAAAAACCAAGCAGAAGGGTAGGAAGAGAAGACCTCAAATAGAAAAATTTAAAGAAAAAATGAAATAAAAAATAATCAGCACTTCCTGTCAGCTTAAGTTCAAACTGAGGTCGTTTCAAGACTTGGAATCACCGTCAGGTAAAGGCAAAGCCTCTTTAGGGAACTGATTGGGAACCTGGGCAGGGCCTGTCTGGGGTTAAATCCTGCTCAGTGCTGGCATTAYTGGGATTACTGGGATTACTGRGATGGACTGGGGCAGTGGGACGGCTGAAGAACCTGAGGATCCCCATTCCCGGACAAAGGGGGAGGGAAAATCCGAAAGAAATCCCTAAAGGAGCCTCATCACAGCCACTGAGCAAAAAAACCCAAACCCACTGGAGTTTAGGAATAAATTCTGAGGGTTTGGGGATAAATCCCCCTGGAATTTAGGGATAAACCCCCCTGTGTTTGGGGACAACCCCTCCTGGGATTTGAGGATAAACCCCCCAGTTTTGGAACACTCATGGCTGGGAATGAGGATAAATCCACTGGAGTTTGGGGATAAATCCCATGGGGTTTTGGGATAAATGCCCTGGAGTTTAGGGATAAATCCCATGGGGTTTGGGCATAAATCCCCCTGGAGTTTGAGGATAAATCCCATGGGGTTTGGGGATAAATCCCCCTGTGTTTGGGGATAAACCCCCCTCTGTTTGGGGATAAATCCCCTGGAGTTTAGGGATAAATCCCGTGGGGTTTGGGCATAAATCCCCCTGGAGTTTAGGGATAAATCCCATGGGGTTTGGGGATAACCCCCCATGGGATTTGGGGATAAACCCCCCTGTGTTTGGGGAAAAACCCCCTGTGTTTGGGGATAAATCCACCAGGATTTGGGGATAAACACCCCAGTTTTGGGACACTCACGGCTGGGAATGGGCGGTCTCGTAGCGCTCGAAGGAGTGGCCCAGGTCGTGTTTGTTGTTCATGTAGCACTGCGTGCACAGGTCGTAGTCGAAGCACATCTTGCACTTCCACCTCATCCCACGGATCCCATGCTTCTTGCAGCAGTCACAGATGATGTTGGGGTGCCGGACACCTGGGGGGCAAAAAAGAATGGAAAATTTACTTTTTTTCCAGAGAAAATCACTTTTCCAGCACTGCAGAATGCCAGAAAATTGAATTTTGAAGGCTTTCACCGAGCCGGAAAAAAATGCTTTATTGTGCACCTTTTCCATCCAAATGATGCAATATTGGAGTGGTTTATTGCTGTCAGCTTGGGAAAGAAGAGGAAAAATTTATCTGAACAATGACTGGGAGAGTGTAGGGAGAAGGGAGGGACTCGGAGCAAAGCAGGGAGCAGGAATTCCCGATGTGAAAACGGATAAAACTGATAAAATGTAAAAAWCCCRTGAGCCATTGTCCATTGTGGCTGGGCTGGGACTGCCCTGGATGCACCTGAAKGCTCKGCCATAAACAGAATTTTTTATTTCATTCCCTGAATTCTGTCTGGACTTTGCTTTAGAAGAATGAGCGCAAACATTCGATTCAGAGCTGGAAAAAGCAGAAAAGCCGAGGGGAAAAGGGCTGAGGGTGCCAGCAGCTGTGCCAGGGCTGTGCCCACACCCCGCTCACCGATCTGGGCGTTGTCRTAGAGCAGCAGGTCGTAGGCACCCTGGAATCCCGTGCGGTAGTTGGTGCGGTTGCCCTGGTCCCACTGCACCACCACGGTTTTGTCGGGCGTGGTGGGGCTGCCCGTCCGGCCGATYTCCACCACGGTGCCCACGTTGCCCTCGCCGCTGTCCTGGCTGCCCCATTTCCAGTCCACGCCGCGCACCACCCGCATGCCCACCTGCATGCTGGCCTGGGGGTCGGGCTCCATGGGGCMGCGCAAACCCTACAGATCCTGCTCCTTTGGGGTCAGCGACGCGGGCGGGGTCGGCGACAGCGCTGCGGGCAGCATGGTCAGCACACCTGCAAATGGGGAAACAACACAACTTTGATTTGATTGTATTTCTCTACTTTTGTTTTATTTATCTTATTTTATTTATCTCCTTTTATTGTATTTTATTTCTCTTATTTCTATATTTTACTTTATTTCTCTTATTTTACTTTATTTCTTGACTTTTATTTATTTCTCTACTTTTATTGTATTTTATTTATCTTATTTTATTTTATCTCTCTTATTTTATTTCTCTACTTGTATTGTATGTTATTTCTCTACTTTTATTTTATTTTATTTCTCGACTTGGTTGGGGTTTGCTTTGGGGAAGGGGGTTTTTTAAGGTTTTTTTAGGACACGAGTTTGACACATCGACAGACTAGGAGTGGAACAAAAAATACGCAGAAAAATAAAAGGTCACCAACAAAACATCAACAGAACATCAGTGGCCATCCACAAACATCTACCCCAGACCCTGTGGAACAGCTGGAGACACCCAGTCCAGAAAATGATACAAAGAATAAAGATTTAATGAACAACAGAGGTGAAGAAATTTAGAAATTTGGGTCCAACAGGAAAGTCAATACTGGGGGTGCTCAGCTCTAAACCAATGGACCTTGGAACGATGCATCTCCATGAGTTTGGACTGGATAAAAACCCATAGAGAGTTTTTGTAAGTTGGTAAGTTTTATTACAAGATCCCAGTCTCTACCAGATCCCAATCTTCACAAAATCCCAGTCTTTATCAGATTCCAGTCTTCACAAAATCCCAGTCATTACAAGTTCCCAGTCTTTATGAGAGTCCAGGCTTCACAAAATCCCAGTCTTTACCAAATCCCAAAGTCAGGAATGAGCCCACCAGGCACCAAAGACACATCAGAGGAGTAAACAAAACCAAAAGGAAGGAGCAGGGTCAAAACAGCAGCACAATTYCGGCATTAAAATTCAGTATCAGTTGTTTTTCAGAAGTTTGCTCACACACATCTCATCTGTTGAGTTTCAYTTCCCTTTTCAGGCCACTTTTGGTTTTGATCTGAGGCTGCGGAAGTTTCAAAACCTGAGAGAAGGGTTTGCCCCTTTCTCACAGTTTTTCCAAAATTCAGCCAATGTCGGGTGAATTTCCATCTTTTCCTGGTTTTTATCTGTGATAAAAAACTGTCGCTCAAGCTGCAAYGAACGCGGATTTGGTGTGAGATGGGGCCTTCCCTTCGTTGCCATGGYGATGGGGAATTGAGGTGATGCCACACGGATCCAGCACATCCTCAATTCGAAATTAAATCAGATTCTTCAGTCAGATTTCAATCAGAATTCCAATATGTTCTTTATTTCTATTTATGTAATAATTCTTTAATACAATAGGAGCAGCAGTTTTGTGCAAACTCTTGAATCCAGCATTCTGATTTCCTAAAAATAGTATTTTTTTATTTGAATTAACTTCTATTTATTTAATAGATTTTATTATTTATAATATAATATCCAAGTAATATTGTAATTAATGTTAATGTATTTTAAATTAATACATTATTAAACTACATATTGTATATGTAGTATATTAATATATTATTYATTTCTATTTATATAATAATTCATCAATACAGGAGGAGCTGCAGTTTTGTGCAAGCTCTGGATTCCAGCCCTGTGGTTTCCTAAAAATCTGACCAACAATAATTAATCCTAAAGGKGGAAGAAGTCCCAGAGAAGTTAAGTATTTTAAATTTTGGGTTCATGGTGTAAAAGCATGGCAGGATCCAAGGGCTGGAATGGACACAAAAGTCAAATAAACTGAGTTGGCCTTGAATCTTGAATTCTTACCCAAATTTCAACCCCCCAGCAACAAAAAAGACACAGAAAAGTGAGCCCATTCCAAAAACGGATCACTGATCTGCACAAAATCCAAACTGAGCTTGTCACCGAGATCTGTGGAACCCAAAGGAGATTTTTATCAGTGATGAGTAACGAAATTAATTAAAAAAAGTGGCGGTGATCAGGCAGGAGCAAAGGCAGCCCTGTGTTTCCATGAAATAACCAAGGATTAAACCCTGCACTGAACCACATTGCACAACAGCCAATGTTTGCTTTGAAACCCTCAAATGCAAACAGAACCTTTAGGAAACTCCAGCACCCATCCCAAATAAACAGCTGGCACAAGCTGGAATGGGCTGGCACCAGCAGCACCACCACAGGGCACTGGTTTGACTGGGATTTTCCTTCCCTGGGATTCTCTGTGCTCTGCTCTGGATTTGTTGAGAGCACTGGGGTCAGGATTTGTTAATGGCACTGGTTTAACAGGGATTTTCCTTCACCTGAGCTGCTCAGGGCTCTGCTCTGGATTTTTGACAGCACAGGGGGTTGGAGCTGGGGCTGGACAATCGAAGCCTTTTCTGGTTTTCCCGCTGAGGTTGGGGGTGCACAGGGGTTTGGAGGGAGGAGCCCTTTTTGTCGGCTCAGGGATGCTCCAAACCCACTTTCTAAGCCAACATCAGTAAAACCCCACAAGAGCACAAATTCCCTCTAACAGCTCCAACTCCACAGGAAAATTAGAGGCTCCCTGGGAAAACTTCAGGCTCTAAACTGCCGAGATCAGTGCTCGTGTGCCCAGCAGAGAATTCCAAACGATTCCAAGCAAAAGTTCACACTGGGCACCTCGTGGGCCTCTCTCATTACATCCCATGAGATAATTGCTCATGAGCCCGATGAAATTTCCTTCTGGCTTTTGATGAACTGTGTTCTTTCCAGGAGGGAGAAAAAAAACAGCTCCAGCCATTTGCTTTAATTGGAGCCGACAGTTTGCAGATTTGAGCCTGGAGCCCTGAAAAAGCTCAGTCGCTTTTTTTTTTTTATTTTTTCTCTTTGACAAGAATCTGCTTTTTCCTCAATAGCAGATCTCAGAGTTAAATTTACACCACTTTACAGCAAAAACAAATACTCCCTGCCCACATACACGAGCACTAGGTGATGTTGTTTAAGGGGAAAAACCCCACAATTATTTGCTAAGTTTGAATGAAGTTATTTTTCACTTTGCCTAGAAAAAAATGGAGAATGGTGTGTTGATTTTCCCATGGGAAGATCCCCATGGAAAACAAATAAAAAATAATATTGCATGGAGTGATTCCTTTCCCCATGGAAAACAAATAAAAACTCAATAATATTGCACTGAGTGATTCCTTTCCAGGAATCCCTGTCACTTTTGTGGCATTTGGCATTGAGAGATCAATAATCAACACCTGAACCCCTTTCCAGCTCTCTCTATGCCCAGAACGGTGACAAAAATCACAATTTTTTTTAAAAAAATAACAAAAATTAATAAAATCCACCCATAGCAGCTGGGAAATCTCCACCACTTAAAGAAGGAATTCAACAAACCCATCAGGAAGGATTTCATTGCACTTTATGGTGCCTYGTGGACTCGGTGGCCTCAGCAAAATCCCTTCCAGAACGATTTTCAATCATCTTGAAATAGAGGAACAGACAGGAGCATATTCCAGCAGTGAGAAATCTGTCTTGGCAGCGGATTTCAGCTGTGCTCTTCCTTGACATTGCTCTGATGCATCTCCTGAGGCAAAACCATCTGTGCCAGAGCTGATGGTGTGGAGCCCTGGGAAAGCTCAGGTCTGAGTGTCTCTCACACCAGCTATCAGCTCCGATTTGCCACTGAAATCTGAGGAAAAACTGAAAAAAAAACCCTAAAAAAAATTTTAAAACCTAAAAAAACTGAAAAAACTCCACCACTAAAAACTTCATAAACCTCCAACCCGATGACAAACCTCCAATCCAATGACACGGCTGCCCTACCTGTACAGAAAGGTGGATCCTGACTTAGTGCACGAAGGAAAAAAAATCAAACAGTTAAGTCTGAAGTGCTGAGAGGTGATTGAATCCTGAGGAAAATCCCAGAGCTGTGGCTCTGCGACAGGACTGCTCATGGGGTTTTTTATTTATTTTACACCCTGACCCCCTCAGCAGCGGCGGCACAGCGGGATTAACAAACTCTGTGTCAGGAACGCCACCTCCTCCGATTTTTCCAGCTGAAAAGCAACTCCTTCAGCCTGGCACGAAGGGAACTGGAACAGAAATCCTTCAGGATCCCTGAGGAGCCTCCAGAGCTCTTCCTACCAGCTCCAGCTTCCCCTTGAGGCTTCCYGAAGGGTCAGCACCGCTCTCCTTCCCGGAACGTGCCCTCTGTGTGCTCTGCCAGCAGCTCAGGAGCTTTAAGGCTAATCTCTCCTGACGTGCCTTTGGCCAGGGAGACGAGTTGGGAGCAGGACAAAGCGAGGGGGAGCTGCTCAGCCCAGCTTTGAGGGGCATCGTTTCACCCTCAGGGCTGGCGTTTCACCGTTCCCATCGTTATCCCGGCTCGTTTCACCCTCAGGGCCGGCATTTCACCGTTCCCGCCATTATCCCGTCGTTATCCTGGTTCCCGTCGTTATCCCAGCACCATTTCACCCTCAGGGCCGGCATTTCTCCATTCCCGTCGTTATCCCGATTCCCGTTGTTATCCCAGCTCCATTTCACCCCCGTTCCCGCCATTATCCCGTCGTTATCCTGGTTTCCTCGTTATCCCGGCTCCATTTCACCCTCAGGGCCGGCATTTCACCATTCCCGTCGTTATCCCGATTCCCGTTGTTATCCCGGCTCCATTTCATCCCCAGGGCCGGTGTTTCACGGTTCCGTTCCCGTCCTTATCCCGACGTTTCGTTTCACCCTCAGGCCCGGGCGTTTCACAATTCCAGGCGTTATCCCGGCTCTGTTTCACCCTCAGGACCGGCATTTCACCATTCCCATCGTTCTCCCATTCCGTTTCACCCTCAGGGCTGGCGTTTCACAATTCCAGGCGTTATCCCGGCTCTGTTTCACCCTCAGGGCCGGCATTTCACCGTTCCCTTATATCCCGGCTCCATTTCACCCTCAGGGTCGGCGTTTCACAATTCCAGGCGTTATCCCGGCTCCGTTTCACCCTCAGGGTCGGCGTTTCACCATCCCCGTCGTTATCCCGTTACCCGGTTCCATTTCACCCTCAGGACCGGCATTTCACCGTTCCCTTATATCCCGGCTATATTTCACCCCCAAGGCCGGCATTTCACCGTTCCCTTATATCTCGGCTCCATTTCACCCCCAAGGCCGGCATTTCACCATTCCCATCCTATTCCGTTTCACCCTCAGGGCCGGCGTTTCACAATTCCACGCCTTATCCCGGCTCTCCATTTCACCCTCAGGACCAGCATTTCACCATTCCCATCGTTATCCCGGCTCCATTTCACCCTCAGGACCAGCATTTCACCATTCCCATCGTTATCCCAGCTCCATTTCACCCTCAGGGCCGGAGTTTCACCATTTCAGGCATTATCCAGCACCCCGGGCACTCTGGAGGGCACATTTCAGGAGCCACAGGTGAGCCAGGGGTGGTGGCAGAGCAGGAATAAAGCTCAAACATCCCAACTCTTGAGTTTTCTCCACAGCCTGGTCACAAGGAGAAGGAATTTTCAACCCCTGATCAAACAGGCATCGCTGATTTCCTTGGGGTCCTATCAGGGAATTTGGATCAAGGTCTGCCAGGACATCAATGTAACTTCACCAATCACATTTTCCAGTCTAAACACTGCTTTTTCTGAATTCTTGGAAATTTTAAACACCACAACAGAGGGAAAAGAAATGTTTCAATTCTGCAAATCTCCCAAGGAACAACAGATTTCACTTTGTTTAAGAATCCAATGATCTCTCTCCCATCAGAGCTTCCAAAATGCAKGGAAAGGTGTTTTGCTCTCCCTCTGAGGACACTATTCCGGCCCCTCTGAAAACGCCCTTGATAAGCCACGAATTAGAATCCTCAAAAAGCAAWCAGAACCCAAACAGGACTTCCCATTCCAGCCCTGCATCCCTGGAAAACAGCAGCTGCACTGGAAGGGCAGGACCAGTGCTGCTGGGAGAGTCACGGTCACATCCAGCACAGCCCCAAACGCTGCCCGAGCCCAGGAGCGCTTCTGTAGCAGAGCTGATGAGCCAGGCAAACAGATCTGATGGGAACAGGCAGGGACAACGTGACCTCAGAGGGCTGAGCTGGGCTGGAGAGAGCCTTCAACTCCAGAGCCAGCAGCGGGGACAGCCTTTGTGAGCACCAAAACCTCTGTGAGCAGCAAAACCTCTGTGAGCAACAATGTGAGCAGCAAAACCTCTGTGAGCAGCAAAACCTCTGTGAGCAGCAAAACCTCTGTGAGCAGCAAAACCTCCCTGAGTAACAAAACCTCTGTGAGCAGCAAAACCTCTGTGAGTGACAATGTGAGCAGCAAAACCTCCCTGAGTAACAAACCTCGGTGAGCAGCAAAACCTCTGTGAGCAACAATGCGAGCATAAAAACCTCTGCGAGCAGCAAAACCTCTGTGAGCGAGCAACAATGTGAGCAACAAAATCTCTCTGAGCAACAAAACCTTCTTAAGCAGCAAAATCTCTGTGAGCAACAACGTAAGCAGCAAAACCTCCCTGAGTAAACCTCTGTGAGCAGCAAAACCTCCTTGAGCAACGTGAGCATAAAAACCTCTGAGCAGCAAAACCTCCGTGAGTAACAAAACCTGTGAGCACCAAAACCTCTGAAAGCAACCAAACCTCGTTGAGCAGCATAACCTCTGTGAGCACCAAAACCTCTGTGAGCATAAAAACCTCTATGAGAAAGCAAAAACTCTGTGAAAAACAAAACCAAACACAAGACACAAGAGGCAGCAGCCCCAGCTCTGAGCACCCTGAGCTCCCGAGGARCCCACTTCTTGATCAAGGACGGATCCTTTCCACAAAAAAAAAAAAGGGAAGGAGACAAGTGCAATCGCCACACTTGCGGTGCTTCCATAGTTTTTGTAGTTTTCTAGAAATCTGAGAAAGTTTTAGGAGAAAAGCGCTGTGCAGGGCGTCCCAGCTCTCCCAAGCAACTCCAAAAGTGGCCATTGCAGACTGGAGCAGAAGMAAAACAGATTCTTTATCCACAAATTTGGCACAGGATTTTCACAGCCAGAGATCCAAACAGGCGCTCAAAATAAACATCAAAACATAATAATAAATTTCAAAACATATAATAATAAATTTCAAAATGTGTAATAATAATAAATGTATGAACATATAGAATAATAGTCATAACATATATAATAAACAAAACATATAAAATAATAAATGTCCAAACATATATAATAATAATAAATTTCACAACATATAGAATAAAAATAAATGTCAAAACATACTAATAACAATAAATTTCAAAACATAGGAAATAATAATAAATGTCAGAAGCATCCAGCAGTATCAGAGCAAGCAGAGGATCGAGCCAAGCCAAATATCACACAAATATTGAAGCTCCTTCCCGTGTCAGTGACTCACAGAGCTGCGAGGGATGGGGAACACCTTTGGGAAGGCTAAAAATGGGAATGACTCCCCGATAAAACAGAACCAGGGGTGGTGCTGTAAAATGACAGCCGGGAAGCTGTTTGTTCATAATCCTAAAGGAACTCCTGCCCTTCCAGCACGGGAATAAATCAGTCTGAAAAACTGAAGGTGCACCAGTGGTAGAGCTGGGAGCACACTGAGTACCTGGTACCCAAACTGCTGCCCTGGAACTTAAAAAAGAACTTTTTTTAGGAACCAAAAGATGTCACCTGCTCCAAACACAAACCCGGACCCCCACAACTCGGAGCAGAAAGCAAAGATCAAGAATTTCCCCAGCTCTGCCAAAGCTGTGGAAGCTTCCCCTTTCTGATTTCCACAATCTGCTGTCACAGAGCATCATTCCCATCATAACAATSTGAGGTGTGGGATATTTACAGCAGCTGCATCCCCTGACAATTGGCTCCTCCACATCCTCAAACCATGAATGGAAAGCTCAACAGGTAATCAAGCACGGAGGAAGGTCCTAGAAGGATGAAAAACTGCATCATTCTTCGTAGCAGGCGGTCTCAGGAAAACATGGAGTTGCTGAACGGAGGAGAAATAAAAATGGGATGTCGTTTGAGCAAGATAAACTCCTCCTATAGCAACAGAGAAGTGCAGAGGATGTCATGAGGCTCTCAGCCAAAACAAGAGAAGGTTGAGCAGCAAAGCCAAGCTCAAGTGACCTCCATGAAGGTGAGCCAGAGCTCACTTGCTTCTCAGCAAGGTAGAAATCAGAATTTGTGACATTCAGAAAGTAATTCTGCGGCTGAGCACGAGCAGGGAAATGAGAGCAAACACCTCCAGTGCCTCCAGTGCAGCCRCACCAACTTCTGCGGGTTCAGTCCGGGTTTGGTGTGACCCTCGCTTTCCACGKCTGTGTCCTCATTCAGGCAGATTTGAAATACAAAAACACAGCCGAGAAAAAGCCCCACGTGCCTCAGCTCCCACAGGCTCCAGGGACACRGGAATCCCGGCAGGAATCGCCGCTCCCAGCCCCGGCAGCCCGGCCTTACCTGCAGTACCTGTTCGGGCACAGGACGGCTGCTCAGCCCTCCAGGGCAGCACGAACGGAGCGGCGGCGGCGGGCGCGGCCTCACCCCCGGCTCCGGCTGCCAGAAGCGCCCCGGCCGCCTCCAGCTGCCCCATCCGGAGGGGAAAAACCGGCGGAAAAGCCAAGCACGTACCTCAGCAACGAGGGAAAGCCGAGGATCCCGAGCGCCCCGGTGCCGGCGCTGCGCTCGCCGCCGTCCCGGTTCCATCGCCACCGCCGCGCCCGGGCGGGCGGAGAACGCGGGGAAAGCGCTCAGGTAGGCGCTGGGGTTCGGAACCGCCCTTATCCCGGTAATCCCGGCAGCTGCCGGCGTGGCTGTCCCTAATGTCGCCGCCCCCCCGCTGCCGGGCCGTGTCCCCGCTGCCTGGCCGTGTCCCCGCGGCCGCCGCGTCCCCGCGGTGCCGCTGCCGCAGCCGCCGCTCGGCCCCGGGGCCGCCCCTCCCGCGGGCAGCCGGGAGCCGTAGTTCCGCTCCGGGCGCTCCGACTACAACTCCCGGGAGCCCCCGGGGAGCCCCGGGCCCGCCCCGGGTGCGGCGTGGTGGAAAATGTTCGCCAGGGGTGGCAAAGGTGCGGGAGCGCGTCCCGGTGGCGCGGGCGGAGCGGGCACGCAGCCCGCGGGAGGGGATGGGGAGGGGTGCGGGAGGGATGCTCGTGGTTCAACGGTTGGGTTTGGGTTTTTTGGGATAATAGTTGGGTTTTTTTGGGATTTTTAATCCAGCAAGCCCTTGGTTTAGCGGGATCAAAGGTTGAAAGAGTGGGTTTATATTGGATATTAGGGAAAATTCTGCCCTGTGAGTGGGACAGGTTGCCCAGGAAAAATGTAAATCACCCATCCTTGGAAATGTTCAATGCCAGGGMTTGGAGAAATCTGGGATGATGCTGGGATGCAGGAGGGATGCTCGTGGTTCAGAGGTTGGGGTTTGGGTTTTTGGGGTAACAGTCCAGCAGGCCCTTGGTTTAGCAGGATCACATTTTCAAGAGTAAGTTTGGATTGGATATTAGGAGGAAAATTCTGCCCTGTGAAGGGGGTGAGGCACTGGGACAGGTTGCCCGGGGCAGGTGTAAATCACCCATCCCTGGAAGTGTACAATGCTAAGGCTCATCGCAATCTGGGCTGGTGAAAGGTGTCTGTGCCCATGGCAGGGTTGGAACAAGATGATCTTCAAGGTCCCATCCTAACCCCAAACCATTCTGTGATCCTATGAATCCTAAGGGACATTTGTGTCTTTGTTCAGCAGGTGCCCAGGAGGGCTCTGAAATCCCATTCCCACTGCCCACCCTGTGGAAAGAGATCACGGGTGGCCCGTGTGCCACCAGCCATCAATCTGAACATCTGAACCATGGCAGGGTTGGGTTGGAGGGGATCTTACAGAGCCCCCAGCCCCAAACCCTGGGACACCTTCCATTCCACTCCACTCTGCTCCACTCAGCTGCTCYGAGCTCCACCCACCTTTAACCTGCCTTTTCACCTAAAAGCATTAATTACTCCCACTTTTACAATCACTTTCAGAGGCAATTGAGGAGTTTGCATCAGCTCTGTGACCATGGCAGCGGTGTCAGTGCTCATGAGGATCAGGATACACACCCTCTGCTGACCTTGCCCTGCTGAGCTCGCAGGGACCTCCCAAATCCCGAGGCTGAGTGAGGTAAGACCTTAACCCTGCACTCTCAGCTGGAATGGGGCAGCAAGGTCACCAAAAACATCCCCTATCCCTGGTGAGGAATCCCCTCCAGAGCCCTGGGGCTCAGAGCAGGGAAAGATCTCAGGCAGCAGCGTCRYCCTGGAGWCCCAAGAGAGCGAATTTCTCTGCCSGTGTCACAGCACAGTGCTGCCACCGTGGCTTTTATGGCTGCAGGGTACAAAGGACCTGTCCCTAAGCAAGCCTGGCACTGGCCCTAGATAAAGCCAGCTGGGAGGACTTTGTGCTCTTGGCCTTGGTGTCCCCTGATCTCGATGTCCCCTGACCTTGGTGACCCCTGACCTTGGTGACCCCTGGCCTCGATGCCCCCTGGCCTCAGTGTCCCTTGGCCTCACTGTCCCCTGTCCTCACTGTCCCCTGTCCTTGGTGTCCCCTGCCCTCACTGTCCCCTGATCTCGCTGTCCCCTGTCTTCACTGTCCCCTGATCTTGCTGTCCCCTGCCCTCACTGTCCCCTGATCTCGCTGTCCCCTGTCTTCACTGTCCCCTGATCTTGCTGTCCCCTGCCCTCACTGTCCCCTGCCCTCGCTGTCCCTAAATTATCTTGGCCCTGCTTTTGCCAGTGCTTGTTGAAAACAGTTTGCACATCCAGCTTCTGGGTTATGTCAGTGTGGAGTTTTTTTCAAGTTAATTTATCTTTTAAAAATAAAGATTAAAAATGGATTTTTTTTTAATTTAAAAAAAAATTAAATTCAAGCTAATTGCTCATTAAAAAATAAAATTTAAATTAATTTTTAATTGAGAAATAAAATTCAAGCTAATCTCATTGGAAATAAAAATTAAAAATTTAATTTTTAATCAAAAAAACTAAAATTCAAGCCACTGTCCCTTAAAAAAAATACAATTAAAATTTAAAAAAAATTAAATTGTTTCTGACGTTCCCTTCTCAGGCATCAGCAGCTCAAAAAGCAATGGAACAAAATGCAGCGATGACAACTCAGCTCGGATGTTAAGGAGAATTTGGACATTGCAATTTTTACTGCAATGGGCTGGAATTGCATGGTTGAATATTAGGAAAATATTAGGGAAATTCTCTACTTTTCCATGGCTATATCCTGATTTTTCAGGGATTTTCCCAGGGATTGTTCTTTGCCCACTGGATGCCGCTGTTCCACAGGAATGTTGCCTCTATGGAATCCCTCCAGCACCTCTGTCAGCCACGGAAACCATCCCAGGGTCAGGATATATGGATTTATTATGAGTTCAGATGGATTTTTAGATGGATATTTATATGAATTTTTTATGGATTTATCCCTGTTAACCTGTTTTTTATTTTCTCCCAAAAAATTAAAATTCCTTCATATTTTGCAAACTCCAGCCACTTGATCCTTCCGTATTTTACAGGAAAAATGGGTTTGGAGAATTCTTTCCTTAATACAGGAAAAATGGGTTTGGAGAATTCTCTCCTGAAACAGGAAAAATTAAATTCTTTCCTTAATACAGGAAAAATGGGTTTGGAGAATTCTCATCTTAAAACAGAAAAAATTGAAGAATCCTCTCCTTAATACAGGAAAAGTTGGTTTGGAGAATCCTGTCCTTAAAGCAGGAAAAATTGTAGAACCCTCTCCTTAAAATAGGAAAAATTGGTTTGGAGAATTCTCTCATTAATACAGGAAATATTAGAAATTCCTTTACTTAATACAGGAAAAATTGGAGAATTCTTTACTTAATACAGGAAAAATTGGAAAATCCTCTCCTTAAAGTAGGAAAAATTGGAGAATTCTCTCCTTAAGGCAGGAAAGCTTGGAGAATTCTTTACTTAATACAGGAAAAATTGGAAAATCCTCTCCTTAAACCAGGAAAAGTTGAAGAATCCTGTCCTTATAACAGGAAAAATTGGAGAATCCTTTACTTAATACAGGAAAAATTGGAGAATTGTCTCCTTAAACCAGGAAAAATCAGAAAATCCTCTCCTTAAACCAGGAAAAATGGGTTTGGAGGCACTGCTGTTACCTCGTGGCCCTGCCTTTGGAGGCAGTGACCTGGATAGAACAGCAAAGATGTTCTCCCACTTTTCCAGGGAAAAACGAGAGGTATTTATAGCTCAGCTCAGCCTCAGAACAAAGCAGAGTGACCTACATCCATCCCGTGCTGGCTCGGGGAATTCACTTTGAGGAAATTTCTATTCCACATTTAGATCTCCCTCCTAACAGAGCCACGGTTTAATAAAATCCAAGCCCAGTGGGGATTCCTCGATTCCTTTCCAGTGATTTTTAGTGCTGAAAAAGGACTGAAAATGTGGCAAAAAAAAAGGATAATTAAGGGGAGGGTGAGATAATCACCTGTGGCAGAAATTCTGCTTTTTCATGTGTGTTTGGAGTCATTTCTTCAAGGCAGGATCACCCAAAATGCTCGGCATCACTGAAAAAATCCCTTTTGCTGTTGTTCTGGTTTGATTTTATCCTTCTGAAACCAATTTTTATTGGCTTTTAATTAAAAATGAGCCCAAATTGCTGGTCCAGGACTCAAAATGAGGCATCCCCTGTGCAGGAAAATTCTCAGTCCGAGCTGTAAAGGATGAGGTGGAACTAAAACCCAAAAATGTTTCCTTTTCCTAGAGGAAGATGCAAAAGTTCATAGACAGTGGAATTTTTTTGCACTTCAAATCCTTGGGATAAAATAATTTTTTTTTTTAAAGAATAATGAATTTCTCTCTGCATACTTTGACTCTGGGAGCTGATATTTCAATGAACCACCAAAATAATCCAGACATCTTTTAGCAAATGTGGATGTGAGCACGGATCTCCTTGAATTGTTCTTTTTAGTTTTAGAATTTTATTTTTAAAATACTCTTCTAGATGATGAATTTAACCTTGTAACTGAAAAAAAACCCCAAAGTTTACACCTCATTTTTCTCCTTCTCTTTCATTATGGCCATGCCCAGACTTTATTGGGGTTCTGGGATCTCAAAACCTCATTTTTAGGATTTTAGGATTTACAGACAACTCAAAGGACATCTGTAGGCTCGGGTGAAAGAAAGCTCGGGGCGCTGAACCGACGTGGCATCGTGAGATGAAAAATAATTCCAACCAAACATCCTGAAAAATGGTCCCATCGACTCCTCGGGGCAGCCTCTAATGAATTCTAATTAGGAGCTGTCACTTCTCATTATGGGAAGATGGGAATGCTTTGGATTTCCCATTCCTTAACCTTGGGCACAGCAGAGGAGAGCTATCCCTGGGAATGGTTCAATTTAGGGCATTTTCCTGGGGAAATGGTTACATTGAGGGTATTTTCATGGCTAAATTAAATGGTTTAATATAGGATATTTTCCTGGTTAAATGGTTAAATTTAGKGCGCTTTCCTGGTTAAAATACAAGRTTAAATTCAGCTCATTTTCCTGGTTAAATTAAATGGTTAAATTCAGGATATTTTCCTGGTTAAATGGTTACATTTAGGGCATTTTCATGGCTAAATTAAATGGTTAAATTGAGGATATTTTCCTTATTAAATGGTTAAATTTAGGACATTTTCCTGGTTAAATTAAATGGTTAAATTTAGGGCATTTTAATGGCTAAATTAAATGATTAAATTTAGGGCATCTTCCTGGTTAAATGAAATGGTTACATTTAGGGCCTGGATAAATGAAATGGTTCAATTAAGGACATTTTCCTGGTTAAATGAAATGGTTCAATTTAGGACATTTTCCTGGTTAAATTAAATGGGAATGGCTGTGTCTGGCTCAGATTATCATTTTAAAGCCGTGCTCAGATGGGATCACCCGCAGGATTAGAGGGAGTGAGAGGAGATAAGTGGAAAATCCCCAAGGGACAAAGGAATTGTCACCTGTACTGAAATGGTTCAACTCAGGGGTCTCTCCTCTGCTGCATCTTCCAAGCCCTAAACCTAACCCTAATCCTAACCCTGACCCTAATCTGGACCCAAATCCTAACCCAAATCTGGACYCAAATCCAAACCCTAACCCTAMYCCCAAMCATAAYCATAACTCTAACAYAAATCCTAACCCAAACCCAAATCCTGACTCTAATCAAGACCCAAATCCTAACCGTAACCCTAATCCTAACCCTAACCCAAATCCAAATCCTAACCCAMAACCAAATCCAAACACTAACCCAAATCCTAACCTTAACCCCAAGATAAATCCTAACCCTAACTCTAACCCATATCCTAAACCAAATACTAATCCTTGTCCTAACGCAAACACTAACCTTAATCCTAACCCTAACCCTGATCCTAACCATAACCATAACCTTAAACATAATCCATATCCTAACCCTAACTCAAATCCCAACCCAAATCCTAAACCTAACCCAAATCCTGACTCAAATCCTAATTCTAACTCAAAGCTGGACTGAAATCCTAACCCTAACACTCACCCTCACCCTAATCCTGACCCAAATCCTAACCCTAACCCAAATCCTAATCCTAACCCTAAAATGCCCCGTGGCTGCAGAACTTTAGAGATGTGGGGTATTGTGGTAATTTGCACGAGGAAGAATCCTCTAAATCACAAAAATGCTGCTAAAGCAGGAGCAAGAAACCTTTGACTCTCACCGGGGCTGTACTGACCCTAAACCTGCAGAAATATGGGGTCAAATCCCACTGGGGCTTTATTGACCCTAAATCTGGGGTTAAATCCCATCGGGGCTGTACTGACCCTAAGTCTGGGGTTAAATGCCATCGGGGCTGTACTGACCCCAAATCTGGTGCTGAAATATGGGGTTAAATCCACACCTGGGTTTATTACAGGAGCAAAGTTATTTATTATGAAGATAAAGTGCTTTATGGCAGAAATTCTGCCAGTGGAATCTTTGTCAGATAAACATTTCCTAACCCACATTTTAACCTCTTCCAGACCCTCAAAAACTCCCAGCGTTCCTCAGGCACATGAGGAAGTAATTAATGAGTGCAGGAGGGGAAAAAAAATAGGGGAAAAAAAAAAGGAAAAGAAAAATGTGCTGAATAGAGGAAAAATTGAGACTCCAAGGCCTCATCCTGCTCAGGCCACAGGTGCAGACAAAAAATATTCCAGCTCCTGACAAACAGCCTGAAGAGGTGCTGGAATGTTCTGGAACCCCTGTGATGGGGSTTTGTGTGAAGACACAGCTGGAAAAGAAAATTTGGAAAAAAAGGAAGAAAAAGAAAAGTTTGGGCACAGAAAATCAGTCAGAGGTGGAGYGGCTTGAAGTGAATATTTGGGAATTATGGGGTTATCGCTGGTCCTACTGCACAGGATCCATGGGGCTGAGTGAAACATCCCATCAGTGTTATCCTGGTTTTCAAAAAGAGCTGGAATAATTGGGGAATTCATTCAGGAAAGCCTGGAATGTTTAGGGGAAGCTGGAGCCAGAGCCAGGATCGGCAGCCAAATCATCCCATTGCCAGCAGGATGAGGGTCAGCCGAGGTCTGGCAGATGCCTCAGACCAAATCCACCAAATTCACTTCAAATGCTTGGGGTGGGAAAAAAAATCCTGCCATAAAAATCTTACCATAAAAATCCTAACCATAAAAATCCTACTGTAAAAATCCTACCCATAAAAAT